CCCTAAAAAATCTTTTGACCCCTAAAACTCCTGAAACCCTCAAAACTAAACCCTAATACAACATAGTTAACCCAAACATAAATGATATAATGAATAAATAATTTTTTAAAAAGTGGTATTTTTGTAAAAATTGTAAAAAAGTGGCATTTTTGTAAAGTGACACTTGAAATGTGGCATTTTTTTAAATTTTTCAATACAAAACAACATTTTTGTCAATAGAAAATAAGAACTGAAATTATACTCTTTTAGTCCCTTGAAAAATGATGTTTTGGTTTTTATACATATATTAAAAAAAAAATCTAACAACTTTTAACAAAATTTTTCATTTTCCAAAATAATTAAATTATATCATAACCAATGAAATTTATTTTGTCAGTAAAAATACATTAATTTAAAAGTAAAAACATCAGTTTTTCAGAAACAAAAATAAAATTCAAAACACCATTTTTTAAGAAACGAAGAGAGTATTTTTTCTTGAAACATATAATAGTCTTTGGAAGAACATTAAAACATTGCAATTTTTTCAACATATAAAAATATATAATTGTTGAAACAAAAAAGTATTTTTTATTATCTAACATAATACCCACCACCCACAAAAGACATAAGTGACCTTTGGAAAAAAAAACAGAAGTGACCTAGTTATCCATAATAAATTACTCAGCCATAGTAAATATAAACATTTTGGCTGTGGATGAATAGAGAGTTTTTGGTTTATATTGTTCATGTTTTGAGGTTTTTCTAGTTCTAATAGTCCGAAGTACAATTGAGAGGTTTAAATTATCTGAAAAGGAAAAGTTAAAACAAATGATAATTAAATTCGCTTAGATATGAAATTCTAGGTTTTGCTATAGTTAAAGTTTTAAGTTTGATAACAAATTAATAGAAGGTACATATATGAAATTTTTACTATATATAATAAGCTTGTGAATATCGATCTATATTTATGTCCTAGAAATATTGTAAGACATTCGGTAAAATACTTCATGAACAATGGAAATGTTTTTCCATACACAAAAACAGTAAATAGGAAAAAGAGAAGTGACCCTCGACTTTTGGTGAGCTTTGTTGCAACCGCGTCTATCGTTCTATATGCTCTATCCATTGATTACGAGTGTTTTTTTTTATTTTTTTTAGTAGTACTTTTGTTTTCTAGATAATCGTTTTGTTTTGGCCTTTGTTTTTTTGGTAAAGTTTTGCGCTGCGCTCCCCATTAAACTTTTGGGCTACGTCTCCGGTATATTTTCGGTAAATTTTTGGACTTTGTTTTTAATGTATCCGTATGTAATTTTATTTGGTTTTATATAATATTATTCAGTGATGGAAAAGAAAAAGGAAAAGAGAAGTGACAAGTGAACTTATGACTTTTAACCCAAAAAAGACAAATTATAATGAAATTGTGAATGTAGTACGTCCTCATACGAAATTAGGGACGGGACCAAACTGCATGTGTACGGTTCTCGTGACTTTAAAGTGGACCGATGAGTCACCAATTCAACTTTTCTTTTTGCTTTGTTTTGCTTCTTTTGAATAATTACGAAAGCATCTAAGAAAATATGAAACTTTGCAGATATTAAGGGCTATATGTGGAATATGCCAAAGGATATGCTGATTTGCTTGACATTATTATCTTTAAAATGACGAAGAAAAACAATATAGTTTCTCTTTTCCTTTCATTTACTTATTGCAAGATAAATAACTTATGAGGAACAAAAAAGAGAAATTTAAAAAAATGTCACTTTTTAAATACTATTTTTCAAAAATAGCACATTTTCAAAAAATTTTGTAAAAATACCATTTTTTCAAAAAAAAATTATTATATCATTTATATTTGAATTAACTATGTTGTATTATGGTTTAGTTTTAAGGGTTTAAAGGGTTTTATGGGTCAAAATATTTTTTATGATTTATAATTTTAAGATTTAGGTTCTAAAAATCCATAATTAGTGGTATGTTTGCAAATGAACATCCCTAAATAACATTTTTGCAGATGTTCACATTAAAATGATATTTTTGTAATCGTTCCAACAAAAAAAAAGTATAATGATGGAAGACTTTTGTTTTTGGTTCTGAGTTACCATGATAATTAGGAGATTTCAAAATGGATTCAGAGCAAAAAGCCAAAAACTATTTAAGTATTTATTTAACAAGAGGCGTTAGAAAATTAGATATAAGTTTAAGAAAGAAAAATATTAGATATGTGAAAAGAAGAAAAATCCCAAGAATTGTGGAAGGAGCCAGAAATACAATTCAGCTTTATTGACTTTGACTTAAACGTACCAAGTCTATATTACGGTCTTATCATATAATTTTCAAACCAGTATTATATTTTTATTTTCTTTAATTATTGTATTCTCGAATCTAAGAATAAATAGCCAACCAAAGATTCTGACAAATGGAAATAGAATCAAATAAAGAGACCTTATCGTATCAAATTATTTTATCAACGACCTTATCATATCAATTTTTATAACTCAAAAGACAAATGGAATCATGTAAAGTAGATCATATTTATTTTGCCTATCATGCTACGAATTTTTTTTTAAATCACTCATCTGAGCCATCTATAAATCATAAATGAAATGAAAATAAATTAGGCATATATATAGAAGATTTAAGTTTACAATATATATTGTCAGTATATTGTATAATCAAGTAAAAATGCATCAAACGATACCATCAAAGATTATATGAGCTTTAGAAAATGTGAAAGGGCAATGCAAGTTTTGTATATAACCTTTAAATTACTTCAAGAGTCGGACGAAAGAAACATATAGACCAATATTAAGTTTTTTCTCCATAATTCTTAGGTGTATATATCAAATAATTAAATCTCATTTATTCTATATTTATCTCTACCACTAAAAACTTTACCAACCTACATCTGTATTTGTCCTCTCTCAGACTCTTTCACAATATTGAAAACATAACTTGTACAGTATCTAAGAAGATTCGTACGACGCATATATGGTTTTGCATGTGCCTCAATCACATCTTCTAGATGAACTCAAACCACATGAATTTTGCAAATTCGTCAGAAGTACGTAGCATCATACTAATATTTATTCAGTGCCACTATTTTAATTAATATATATAGCTTAGTGTGAATTTGCTCTACTTTGAATAAAAGCATAATTTTATATCTGAAAATGAAATTTGAGATGGTGGTGTGGGAATATATGCTAAGTGTTCTACGGATATTCTTTGGGTATTTATGTATCCAAACATAACCTACGTGCATACT